ACCTACATAAAAAGACAAACTATATAAATATATGTATTCAAACCTTTATATAGACATAATAACGTCTCAATATACAAAAGTGGGGGCTAGGCACCATATTTTTTCATAAAACTTACACAGAGCTAAAGAATATAGTCCAAGTTCAAAAAGAAATTAAGATGACAGTGACCATAAGAAAGAACTATCCGAAAGGAAGTTGAACAGAACATAATGAAACAAATGAGGAGTGAATCAATCTGAAAATCACCACCAAATTCATTGAAGCAAGGATTTTGTAAATGTGCAAGCAACAGATCATCACTTGAGACGTGCTATTCATCAAGTGAAATAACAAATTTAGCTTGGATTACATGATCAAAAGTGATGATGCATCAAAGCAAAAAATTATGTTCAATCACTGAAAACCAAGACCCCCACATGTGGCAAATAATTCTTTCATACAAAGTTAACCTTTCCTCAAAAAAACATGGAACATAAGCTATAATAAGAAGTTCTTTGCTTTTTTTTCTATTGGAAACAATCTATATTATTGCATGTGTGAACTCAATAATATTTTTATATTTGTTTAGCCCAGCATGTTTTGTTGGGGAGAGTCAGGTCGTAAACATGGATCAACAACAGCACGTCTCATAAATTCTTACAAGCCACATGATCATTATCATAGTAAGTAACACACAAACAAGTCATCATCCAACTAGAATAAATAATTGAGGATGCTATACTTCAAACTTTAAATAAGCAAGATATGATTCATTTTGTATAAAAAATTGACAGATTGATTCATTTTAACAAATCAGGTTTGTCAATGCTTGTAACATTAAAAACAACCCAAACAAAATCCTGACTCATTTTGTAAAATGGTTTTTAGCTCATAAAATTTTATAGACCATAAGCAAGCATCAGCCATCCGAAAAACCCAAATATATAGATCTATACTCATAATTTAGTTGCTCTGTGTAAGACATTCAACCATTGAAAAACCGAAACCCCCAAATGTTGCCATAAAAATTGTGATCGATTAATTTATATTGATCATAAGCAAGCATCAATCATCCATACGCAAGCATCAGTAAAATAGCATCACTCGTCCATACGAAACCATAAGTAAAATGACATCACTCATCTATAAGCAACCATTGTAAATTGGCATCCATAAGAAACATCAATAAAAAGCAAAATGGCCATGGTAAAATGAAATCCACAATAGTTTAGTTGCTATGTGTAAGACATTCAAGCCTTGAAAAACTGAAACCCCCAAAGGTGGCCAAAAATTATGTGAAATGCAAATTTCTAAAGAAATTTTTATGATCATAGTTTTGTTGCTCTGTGTAAAACATTCAAGCGCTGAAAAACCGAAAACCCTAATTGTGGCCAAAAATTCTGAGATACCAATTTCTAAAGAAATTTCTATGATCATAGTTTTGGTTGCTCGGTGTAAGACATTCTACCATTGAAAAACCGAAACCCCTAAATGTAGCCACAAAATCTGTGATCGATTAATTTGTAGAGATTATAAGCAAGCAAAATCTGTGATCGATTAATAAAGGAAGATTACCACATCTTCACTTACTGCAAAATGCTTCATGTTCAATATGGATGAAGGAGCTCAAAAAAAAGAAGCAAAAAAAAAAAAGTGCTCTGCGTAACACATTCAATATCTGTAAAACCAAAACCCCCAAATGTTGGTATTTCATATACATGGTTTCTGCTGATAATGCAAGCATCAAAATCCACTGAGACAATGAACGTAGATAAGAAATGGTGAAAAGTTTGGGGAAATATCAAAATCCACTGAGACATTATCCTTGTAACACACTCAATGTCTATATAACACAAGAAATTGTGTTCCCCATCATTTCCCACATGATCAAGGAAATATCAAAATGCTTCATGTTCAATATGGATGAAGGTGCTTAAAAAAAAAACGGCAATAAAAAAAAAAAGGCTTTGTGTAAAACATTCAATGCCTGAAAATCCAAAACCCCCAAATGTTGGTATTTCATATACACGATTTTTTATAATGCAAGCATCAAAAGTTAAAAAATACAAGAAGATTTTTCCATCTTCTTTTACTGCACAATGATTCATGTGCAATATGGATGAAGGACCTTAAAAAAAACAGCAATAAAAAAAAAAAATGCTTTGTGTAACACATTCAATGTCTGAAAATCTAAAACCCCCAAATGTTCATTTCAAATGCACTAACTCACAAGCCGCTTGGTCACTGTCAAAAGTGCGCAGATTTGCAAAAACATTAACAGAAAACTTGGAAAAACTTAGCAACTTTTACAAATTTTTCAAGTGAAGAAATTTTTTAAAAAAATGTCTATAATGGTATTCAAACCCATTTCGTCACTTTAGTCATACCACAATCCTACCAGAATCAAAGACATTACTTATGTGACAAAATAACATAGAAAAACTGTATGTAAGCGAAAACTTGGATGCATCGTCACTGAATAAGTAGAGTTGACTGAGGCAGATTCGACCTAAAATGAGTTTTATTCACTGGTCTTTTCCATACTTGAAATGGGGAAAAACTCGAAATCCTCAGCTACCAAGAATCTGATCCGCAGTAGAGAGTGAAAGGGATTTTTAGTGCGCACAATAAATTATTTAGGGCTTTCAAGGTTTTTGTGCTTAGAGAGAAAGAGAGGGAGTTTTAGGGTTTCAGCATTAGAGAGAGAGAGGACTTTCAGCATTATAGGGGAGAGAGCGAGCATACGTTAGGGAGAGAGAGAGAGAGGAGGAGAGACGACGACGTAGAGGGAGGAGACGACGTAGTGTAGTCGTTAGGTCGGTAGGGAGACGACGACGACGAAGGG